TGTCCCCCGTCTGTTTGTCTTCTCAGGCTGGTCTCCAGGCTTCACAAAGTTATGAGGACTCACCCAGGGAATGTCTGTGGAATATGCAGGTGGACAGCTACTTAGTTCTGAGAGTCACCCAGATCCACGCTCTTCACTTCTCCGGGCTGTGGCGGGTGTGGATTCAGCCAGCAGGGGGCCCTGTGGTCAACTTGACCACGCCCCTGGGCCCTGCCTGCGTGCATCCATTCATTCACTCATACCTCTGGTCTCCCAGCAAACAGCTCCTGTTCAACCATCTCATCACATCCCCTGATGGGGACCACACTGTTTCCCCGGGATCAGGAAGCAGGATGCTCTCCTGGAAGGCCTGCTCAGACTCAGTCTTGCTTTACTTTGGGAAAACTACCCTGGGTGTTAGTGTCAGAGCCACAGAATTTTCATGAAACGGATGGAATTCTAGACAAGTTATCTCTCAAGGCTCAGGAATGAGTCCTCAGGGAGAAGCTGGGGAAGGAATCTCTTACTCTTTGACCTACAAAGTCATCTCTTTGGGTTGATCTATAAATTGAGTGGTAGGCAATGTGGGTTTTATCCAGCGGCACCACTTAACAGCTAAGTGACCTGACCAATCCCACATTCCCCTAGCCTCTATCTCCTTATCTGTCCAATGATGCTAACAGTAACCCCTGGCTGTTGTAGACTGTTTTGGGCATCTGGTCAGCCTCTCTCCTTTCCCATGGGACAGCAGTCTTCCCCTTCTTTAGGGTCTCCTCCTCCAAACACTGGTTCATCCAGAGTGGCCATGGCATCTATGATCCTGTCCTTTGGCTATAGATTAGAGCTGGGCCAATCAGAAGCCTTCCCTGTTCTGTTCTATTTTGAGTCAGAACTGAGAAGACAGCTGTGAAAATGTGAAAGGCTCAGGAATTGTCATTGGTCAAATGTCCTTCCTAATAGCAGAGTTAGTCTAGAGAGGGAGAGAGAGAATGTGAGTCCTGGCGAGGCTTGGATTCCTAGTTCTGGCTGTGCTTGGGCTCACTAGCCCTGCTCACAATCTGGAAGTTCACTCCTCCCTTAGATTCCCAGAGTTGCCTCACTGGTTGGCTTTGGTTTCTAAAGATATCTTTCTCACAGGGTTGTGTGTAGGATCAAATGAGCTGAAGTGCGTGCAGCGCTCAGCCCAAGGCCTGGTGCCCTGCAGGCTCAGGGGCATGGATTCCTTTCCCCTAATGGGCACCAGGCAAGGATAGGGTTTGGCAAGATACCAGGAAGATGTGAGGCATCGGCACCAGTGAAGGGATGTAACTCAGCAGCTCGCAGAAAACGAAAGTCAGGTGCCTTGGGGCCCCGCGGAGCACCACAGGAGACCAGAATGAATTCCCAAGAGGAACATTAGGAAAGACGGGACTAAGCGGGGAGAAGAAAAAAAAAAACTCTCCCACAATGATTTGTGGGAGAAAAAGCTGCCCTCTGTACTAGGGATTTGGACTTTCCAGGTGGATCAGTGGTAAGGAATCCACCTGCCATCGCAGGAGACACAGGTGACATGGGTTCAATCCCTGGGGCGGGAAGATTCCCTGGAGGAGGAAGTGGCAATGCACTCTAGTATTCTTGCCCAGAAAAATCCCACGGACAGAGGAGCTTGACGAGCTACAGTCCAGGGGGTCGTGAAGAGTCAAACATGACAGAACAACTGAGACACACACACGCACCAGGGATGCACGCTAGTCTCTGAGGTCTAGAAGATGGATACTAGGAAAAGCTTTCCAGAGGAGGGATGTTTGAGCTGGGTGTTGAAGGATGACTAAGAGTTTGTCACCCAGGGAAAGGACTTAGGGAAACTGGATTAACATTGCCAAACAACCACTATTAGTACAGAGCTAATTAGCATGAGAATTTAGACAGCCTGAGTTTAATCCTGCCTCAACTATCTGCAAAATAAGGAAATAGAAGTTTATTTTTAGTATTAAATGAGATGTTGTTGTCATTATTGTTCAGTTGCTAAGTTGTGTCCAACTGTTTGCAACCCCATGGACTGTAGCCTGCAAGGCTTTCCTGTCCATTAAATGAGATAATATATGCAAAACACTCAGAACAACACACTGTCAGAGGCTATGGTTAAGCACTAAAAAATGTTTAGCTCATTACGAAAAGCTTTTATATTATCAAGTCCAACCCCCTTTAAAAGATTAGAGCTGTTACCATTTAATACTTTCCAAGTAAGCTGCTAAATGTTTAGCATGTTTTGTCTCTTTTAATTCTCCCAACAACTCCAGGAGGTGAGTACCATTATCCCCATTAAAGATAGAAAGCAAGACAGCACATTAGCAGAGACATCACTCTGCCAACAAGGTTCCACATAGTCAAAGCTATGGTTTTTCAAGTAGTCATGTATGGTTATGAGAGTTGGACAATAAAGAAGGCTGAGCCCTGAAGAATTGATGCTTTCGAACTGTGGTGCTGGAGAAGACTCTCGAAAGTCCCTTGGACAGCAAGGAGATCAAATTAATCAATCCTAAAGGAAATCAACCCTGAATATTCCTTGGGAGGACTGATGCTGAAGCTCCAATACTTTAGCCACCTGATGTGAAGAGCCAACTCATTAAGAAGACCCTGATACTGGGAAAGACTGAAGGAAGGAGGAGAAAGGGGCAACAGAGGATGAGTTGGTTGGATGGCATCATCGACTCAATGGACATGAGTTTGAGCAAACACCGGGAGATAGTGAAGGACAGGGAAGCCTGGCATGCTGCAGTCCATGGGGTCACAAAGAGTCGGACAAAACTGAGTGACTGAACAATAACAAAAGATAGAAAAACAGCGGCTCTGAAAGGTCAAGATTACATAGCCAGTGCAGAACAAGCAGAGCAGGGATTCAAACCCAGGTTTGTCTGAGCACTCATGCCCGTGGCCCAGAGAGGGTAAGGGACTAGCCTCAGAACACAGAGCAGGGTGCTGGGGTGCCAGGATTTCTTTATGGACAGACTCAAGGGCAGTAATCTGGTTGGAAGTCCTTGGTTTGCCTCCGTCTTTACAACCACGTGTCCATTGACTTCCTGGGTGGTCCAGTGGTTAAGACTCCACACTTCCAATGTAGGCACTGCAGGTGCCATCCCTGGTCAGGGAACTAAGATCCCACATGCATTGTGGTGCAGCCAAATTTAAAAATAAATAAAAATATAAAATAAATACAAACCCAGTGTCTGAGTCCTGAGAGCTGCCAGTGGAGAAGATTTAAAACACAATGCCTACAAGTCCATTGCCCACATCAGAGACCCAGAGGTGGCTGGTGGAGGTTACTGAGGGACCCGCTCAGCCCTGCCCAGCCCCATTTGCACTCTTGGGGGGTTGGGGGGAGGCTCGCAGGCCTGGGGCTCCTTGGTCCATGAGGCTAGGGAAGGGCGGGGCTGACCCTACTTGGGCGCACAGGGTCAGGCCTCCCAGCCGGGCAGACAAAGCTAGAGCCTGGAGACTCAGCCTCACCCCTGCTCCCCTCCCTTTCCCAACCCCCACCGCTTCCGCCAAAGGTCCTTGTAGAAAAATTCCAGCCGCGCCCCTGGACCGGGGTTTTTCCAGTGGGGTGGGAGCTGTGAGGCGTGTCTGGCGGCCACAGAGGGGGTAGTAATCGGGCAGCCCTGCTCAGGACTCCCTTCCCGTCGTTGTCCCCAGGGCTCTGGCCGGCCTTGGCTCCTTGGGGACAAGCAGGCTGGCCAGGGGAGCCGGGCTCGGGATGTCCTAGCAAACAGGAAACGAAACAAAGGCAGCTGCTTATCGGTCGCCCCGCATTCCTTTCAGGTGATGCCCAGGCGGCCTGGGGGACGTGGCTGGCACTGAGGGGCTGCCCTCCAGGGGATACACCTCCCTACTGCCTCCTCCAGTGACTTCAGCTGGGGGGCAAGGAGGACTGCTGTCAGGGGAGGACCATCCCCAGGCACAGCCTCCCTGAGCTTCTGGGAAGGCAGGGCTCCATACTGACCTCTGTGCCTAGAGGCTTGGGAAGGGAACGGAAAGGAAAGAATGGGTCGTGTTATTCAACCATTCCACAAACTGCAGCGCCACCTTATCCAGGGTACAGGTATGGGTACAAGGACTCATCAGTGAACCAGACCCAGTCTCTGTTTCTCAAGGAACTTCCAGCATAAGGAAGATAGTGAAATACTGGTGAAAGGGCAGGGTGCAGTTGAGTTCAGGGAGGGGGTGTCTAAGCCATGCTAAGAGGGGTTGGGGTGGTTTGGGGAACCATGGCTCCCTTGCACAGCACCTGGCACATCTGTTACTCCCTTGGTACTGTCTGAGTGAAGAAACCTTGGAGCTGGGTTGGGAACAGCAGTGCAACAGGGGTAGGTGGGATGGAAGTTGCATCTGGACCGAGAGAAAACAGCATGTGCAAATGCCCAGTGGTCTGCCTGTGTGCTCGACATTGGGGAGCAGGGAGGACTCTGGAGTCGTCTGGGCACTGGGTGAAGAATCTGGTGAGGAAGCTGGTGGGGTGGGTCCTGATGGCCTTGAATTCGAGTGAGGCCTGGACTTAATTCCGCTGGCCCTGAGAGCCTGGGGACATGAGAGGGCTCACAGAGGCAGGCCCAACCTGGCCTGGGGTGGGGGTGGGGGGGTGTCCCCTCGCCTGGGTGGCTTGGAGAAGCTGATCTGCAGAGACACAGGCTCCAGCTTCTATGGGGCTATGCCCCCCTTGCCTGCTGGGCACCGGCGCCAGCTCTGCTGATTGGTGGGTTGGACTCCCCCCACCCCAGGCTGCGCTGACTCAGCGTCTGAGAGGTGATTCCCACGGGCGCGCATCTCTCTGGGGGCCAAAGGCCGTGCCATCCATGTCCCACCCACAATGGATCAGTATCCAGGGTCACTGACAATTCAGGCTGAATGGAGGCTAAGACTTCTGGTCCCCCGACCCCCACCCCTGCCAACCAGCAAAGCCTCAGGCAGTCCTTTCTGCTGTGCCCCCATATGCCACTCCAACTCTGGCCTGGATTTCCACGCCCAGAAGTTTCAAGATACCATAGTTACCAATACTTTTTTTTTTTAATTTTAAAAGAGTGAAAAGAAAAATAAATATCTTTGAAGAATAAAAGTACAAGGGTGGGTGAGGTCGTGGGCTGGAGACTGGGGGTGGGGCAGGGTGTCCTGGCTTCGGTGATCCTGCTTGGGGGTCTTGCTCCTCCCGGGCCAGCCCCTGCCCAGCCCCGCTGGGAGGTCTGGGGGCTCCGGCCAGCCCGCGGCTCCCAGGCCGGGCGCTGCGTCAGCGGAACCGCGCAGGGATTAGCCCCCTGGCGCCTGGAGTCCCGTCGGGCGGACGGGCAGGCGGGGCGGGGGGCTGCCGCCCCACGAGGTGGGCTCTTCCCGGTGTGGTGCCCGCGGCCTCAGTGGTGTCCCATGTCCTCCATTCCCACGCGGCCCCAGACGCCCAGCACGAAGCTCTCGATGTCGCACTCGTTGGCGCCGCGCACGATGCGAAAGTGGCCCCTCTCGCCCCAGGCCGGGCCCCACGAGTTGGCCGCCGTCTGGGAACGCAGAGGGGGCCGTGAGCAGGGGAATCGCGGTGGGGGAGAAGGGCAGGAGGGCGGGGGGAAGGTCACAGCGGCCGCAGGGGGCGCGGTGCCGGGACTCACCCAGTACTTGACGGTCCTCCCGTCGGGCAGCGTCTCCTCGCCCCACCTGCCGGGCAGAGCCAGAGCCACAAGCGCGCTGATTCACCTACTTTGAGGAGCTCCCGCCCCGCTGCGGCCTTCCCTAGCCAGGCCCCTGTTGCCTTTGGTGACTTGGCGCCCCTCAGGACTTGGGCAGGTCTCTGTGCCTCTCTTCCCCAGGCTTCCCAGGTGGCGCCAGTGGTAAAGAATCCCTGGGTGGGGAAGATCCCCAGGAGAAGGGGATGGCTACCCACTCCAGTATTCTTGCCTGGAGAATCTCAGAGACAGAGGAACCTGGTGGGCTACCATCCATAGGGTTGCAAAGAGTCGGACAAGACTGCAGCATCTTAGCACCGTCGGCCACTGTCCCTCTCTGCACCTCCCTCAGTCTCCACATCTCTAGGTCCCCCATGGGGCACAAAGGGACATGGAGGGGGGGGTGAGCAGAAAAGCCTACACCTTCCAAAACCCACATGGCGGGAAGGGCACACCTCTGCCTGCCCTCCATCCTTACCTGGCTGGTTGAGGGGGTTGAACAAAGTACATTTCATCGGTTGGACTATTGAAATCAATGACTCTAGCATCTCCTGTTACATCAGTGGGGGAAACTGAGGGCTGGAGGTATAAGTCAGTGAGTCAGGCAAAGCGGGACAGGCGCTGAGCTGGGGAGAGGTAGAGCAACTCTTGAATCTTTGTCTATATTTGATTTGGAGTGATTTCTCCTGGTGTGTAAGGAAGGAACTGTTCTAGAACACTTTGAAAGGCCCCTAACTCTTGGTGTGCCCCGAGGCAAGTACCTCCTCTTTCTGAGTCCCAGTTTCCTCCTCTTTGAAATGGAGCTTTGCAGAGAGGTGGTAAGGATTCAAGGCAGGTTTAGAGCCCCCAGGGCAAGCCCTGCTGCCCCCAGACCCCTGCCCACCAAGCCCCTTACCCTGTGATCTTGACCGAATGGGTCCCATGCCGGCGGTATCGCTCCGGCCTCCCGAGGCTCACTGGTGTGTGGCTGTAGATACCGCTCTTATATAGGAAGAAGTCCTCATGCACCTCCATGAGGGCTGTAGGCAGAGGTCAGAGGAGGTGGCTCAGCCCATCAGCACAGGCAGTGATGCCCAAGGCTGGAGATACATGCCCAGGTCCCAGACCCTCTCATACCAAGGCTCTAAGTGCCCCCTCCAGGTGCTGCTCCTGAGGAGAGGACACAGTCCCCCACTCCTGGCCCCAGTGGACTTGCTGCTCAGGGTGATAGGGACCACCTGTGCCGCGGTGCCCAGTCTCAAGCAGGCACAAGCTTCGGGCATCATGGGGCAGGATGGGGGGCATTTACCTTGGACAGGACCATTCTCCATCAGCTCCTTCATGATCTCCTTCTCCTGGAGGGTGAGGGGGTGGGGAGGAGAGGATCCATCAGGCATAAGCCTCCAGCCTTTGGTCAGGCTTCCAGCTCTCTCCTGCCTGTGCCCCTCACTCAAGTGCAGACTTACGTTGGAGCCGAGGCGGTAGGCAGGAGTGACCTGGTAGATGTCATTGGCATGGACATAGCTATTGGGGCAGCGCGCGGTGGCCTGGCGTTTGCCCCGACCCATGGCCCGACTGTGCATCATGCAGGGGGGTGCGGGGACAGCCTCGTCCCGCCCATGGCCGGAGACTGGGTAGCAGTGGTCAGACACAACCCTGCAGGGGCAGCGGGAGGGAGCGGGGACAGAGTGAGCATGGGGCAGCCTGGCCCAGGCCCTTCCTGCAGGCTCTTGCTTCCTGAGACCCCTGCCTTACGCCCTCTTCCCTGTCCGTGCCCCCTGCTGCTCACCCTCGACGGCGCAGGAACCACCAGGCGCCATCCAGTCGCCCACCACGGCAACCCTGCTGGTTGTGCGTGTCACAAGACAGCAAGTTCTGGGGCGACAGGACGGGTGTCATGTGCCCCAGAGAATGGATTGAGACTCGATCGGATGCCACAGCTGGTAAGAGAGGTAGAGGGGCTGTCAGGGGGCTCAGGCCTTGGCCCTCCTTTCCCACCTGGCCAGCCCCTGCCCTTGAACCTACCTGCTGTGGAGAAGGCCCAGGAGCCTGCACAATTGCCCTGGTCTAGAGGGTCGTGGATCAGGTTGGGCCACTTCTCAGAGGCCTCGAAGGTTCTGGGCAGCACCTCACCTGGACCCAGCACTGTCTGCAAGGCAAAGGCCACTCTTGTCTGTCTCCTGCCTCTGCCCCAGCCTGCCCCTCCGGGGCCCTAGGCATGGGAGGTCTCCCAAGTGTCCAGAGCCTTTGGCAATTTGATCTTGAGCCCGCCAAGACGTGAGAGAGTTGATCTGAGAGATTCCAGCAACCTCCACCTTGGCCCAGAGGGAGACCCAGGCACCATTTAGCACCTCCTAGTGTCAGGTGGGGGGTGACTAGTCCTGTTTACAGGTGAGGCAGCTGAAGCTAGGAACAGGGAAGTGACTGGGTCGCTTTCTATTCCGGCTTCTTTCCTCCTCTGCACCTTCTGATCCACTTACATCCTTCTTTCCACCAGGACCTTGGGATTCGGGCCCCAAAGGGCAGGGGAGGAAAGAAGCAGTAAGGTCCCGTGACTGGGCAGGCTGCCAAAGCAAACAGCAGGAGGCAGAAAATAGCCAGAGGCCCCAGGGAATAAGGGCAGGGGCAGGGTCTGGTCACCCCAGCCTTGAGCTGAACTCCATCTGCAGGGCGGGCAGCTCCAGCCAGACACCAGCCCCTCCTTGCCCGCCACTGACGGACAGAGCCTTCGGCAAGTGGCCAGCCCTGTCCCACTGAAGTTCCCCTTCCTCACCCTTGGAACTGTCCTGGGTCTGGTTCCCATTCCTACCTCTAGAGGGTCCCACTAGTGGGAAGGGAGAAACCCCCTCCTCCCTTGAGGTTCTGCTGAGATGGCATTTGTTTCCGAGAATTGCTGCTCTCTGGCCAAAACTGGGGGAGTGCCTGTCCCTTCCTTCCCAAAATACCAAGGTGACCTCCTGGCCCTTTGGGGCCCTGACCCCGCCATACTGGGACCAATGACATTTTTTCCCAAGCTGGGGAGGCTCGGGAAGCCAGGGAGGGTGAGATGCTGGGACCACAAAACTCCGAATCTGAGCACCAGTTCTTGCAGTGCAGTCTATCGAGTTATAGGCAGAAACTTAAGACCTAGAAAAGGGGAGTCACTTGCCCGCAACACACAGCCTATCAGTGGGGGACAGGCCTAGGCCCTTGGAGAAACAGGGCACAAGGTGCCAGGATCCCTGGGGTCATAGGCCAAGGGGAGATGGCAGGATTGTAGGCAGGGGTGAACTTACATGAATCTCATTCATGTTAGTGACGGAGGAAGATGGGCGGACAGTGCCTAGGCGGTAGCGAATGCCCTCATCCAGGGTCATGCCCCAGAAGGCACTGTGGTTTCCAGCCCGCCAGCTGAAAGAGAGGGGATGGAGGTCACAGATCTGCCAAGGCTGAGGGTCCTGGAGGAATATGCATGTGAGTGGGAGAGACGCCTACTGGCTGAGTGTACACATGAATAAGATCTGAGTGTGGGTGCCCCTGGCAGGACACGCCTCTCGGGCAGAAAGTACATCTGTATGTGCATGCACGTGCATGTGTGCCTGCTTCGGGCCTCTCACCCATAGTCGCCTTGGTTGATGGCCTTGATCATGTCTTCGTCCACCAGGCATGGTTCCTGGTCACACTCCCACTGCTCTTTCTCATGGCAGGTACTGGAAAAAAAGGAGGGAAGGAAGAAGTGAGGTAGGGCTGGGCATCCATGGAAGGAGGAGGCCTTGGAGTTCAACATGTGGGCCTGAAATTCCACATCAGCACCTACCAGAGGACCCCCCAGGTGATCCCATGCAGCCTGGTGGCTTTAAATGTCAATTTCAAGTTCATGATTCTCAAGTTTACATCTGCTTCGCAGGTCTCTTCCTGAACTCCAGATTCTAGGATCTTGACTGCTACACAGCCTCACCTCTGGGGTGTCTACAGGTTACACTCCTCACATCTCAAACAGAACTCCTGCTCTCCCCTACTCCCAGGCCTGCGCCTGCCACAGTCCTCGAAAACAGCCACTCCATCCTTCCTGGAGCGCAGGCCAAAAGCCTGGGAGGCACCCTTGACTCTTTCTCTCACGTGCTGACCTGATTCATTGGCAGATCTGTTGACTTTACCTTAAAAACACATCCAGAATCCAAACCGCGTCTCATTCTTTCCTGCAACCACCATGGTCCAATCACCTTTCACCTGGATTAGGCTGCAGCCTCCTCACTGTTCTCCGCTATTCAGCCCCGGGCCCCACTCCTTCAGTATATTTTTAACACAGCCACCACAGTGATCCTGTTAAACCCAAATCATATCATGCCATTCCCCTGCCTAAAACTTGCCATTGGCTTCACATGACAGAATAAGAGCCAAACAAATCCTTCCATGCCAACAAGGCCCTGCACGATCTGTCCTCTCTCTGGCCCCCTCCTCTAAGACCTGGTTCCTAAGGCCCCAGCCAGGCCGGTCCCCTGACCATTGACATGAGTTGTGCTCCTGCCCCTGGGCCTTTGAGCTCTTCTTTCTAGGGGGAAGCATCCTCATGGCTCCCTCTCACTTCTTCCAAGTCCTTATTCAAATGTCACCTTCTCAGGGCAGCTTGCCCTGAACACCCTATCTCAGCATCCTCCACCCTTCCTACCCTGCTTCCCTGTTTTATTTTCTCCTCAGCCTGTCATCACTATCTGACGTATTATATCTTTAGCTATTTATATTGTTTATACCTATTTCCTCATAGGATCTAATGTCCTCGAGGGCGGGTATTGTTTGATATCATTAGTGCCCCAAAACAAACTCTAACATGTAGTAGGGACCTAACAAATATTTGTTGAATGAATGAATGGGGCAATATAGTGAAATGATTAAGACCATGGATTCCGAATCGAATTGAGGGTTCGGATTTTAGCTGACCTTTCTGTTGTTTGCCGTTTAGTTGCTGCATCGTATCCGACTCTTTTGTGATCCCATACACTGTAGCCCGGAGCTTCCCTGGTGGCTCAGTGGTAAAAAAATATCCCCCTGCAATGTGGGAGACATGGTTCAATCCCTGGGTTGGGAAGATCCCCTGGAGGAGGACATGGTAACCCGCTCCAGTACTCTTGCCTGGAGAATCCCATGGACAGAGGAGCCTGGTGGGCTACAGTCTATAGGGCCGCACAGAGTCAGAGACGACTGAAGCAGCTACGCAGCAGCAGACTGTAGCCCTCCAGGCTCCTCCTTCCATGGGATTTCCAGGTAAGAACACTGGCGTGGGTTGCCATTTCCTTCTCTAGGGGATCTTCCCGACCCAGGGATCAAACCCGCCTCTCCTGCATTGGCAGGCAGATTTTTACCACTGAGTCACCAGGGAAGCCCGTGTGACCTTAGGTAAGCTATTTAAAACTCTCCCTCAATGTCATCAGTAAAATGAGGATAATAATAGTACCAACTTCCAGGGATTAAAAGGCAAACTTGCAAAGTATTCAGCCCAAGGCCTGACCCATGTTACGTGCTCAGAAATTGTCATCTCCTATTATTGTTCTCAGCACAGGAACCCCGACTCCCCGCCCCCTTGAGTTTCGGACTCAGATCCAACTGGCCTTCTGACATATCCTCTGGGTATGTGAATGGCATCTCAAAATGGCTAAACTATCTCCCCCAAACCTGTTCCTCCCCCTAACAACATCCTCAACTCAGACAACAGCACCTTATCTACTGGGCTGTTCAAGCCAGAACTCCGTGTGGTCCATGACGTCTCCACCATTACTCACCCCGGCCCCCACCACCCACATCATGTTGAAAATTACTTTCTGCCACACACCTCCCCTATTAGCAGACCCCGCATCTTGAGACTCAGAATCCGCTTGCCTCCTACCCCTCCATCACCATCACCCTACTCTGGTCCCTGGACCATAGCAGTGGCTTCCAGCACTTTATAATTCCCTTCCCCCAGGACACACATCCCACTCTTAAAGCCAATGAGCTCTGTGAGCAACACACATCAGTTTGTGTCCTCCCTAAGTGGCTTCCCACGGCACTTAGAGCAAAATGCAACATCCTAGGCACAGCTTATGAGCCCCAGGGGACGTGGCCTGCATCTCCCCAGGCGTCTCTCCCCATTTCACAGCTCCAGCTGCAATGAGCTTGGTCCCACCTCCTGGCCTTTCCACCAGCCATCACCCCCCTTGTTCCCTCCTCCTGGGCCTGGGCCACTCATGCTCTCATCTCCCTGGTATCTGCCTAAACGTCCCTTCCTGAGTGGCCTTCCCTCGCCCCCATCCCACTCAGAACTAGGATCCCCTGTGGACCTCTGTCCCCCCATCACACCTGGAATAGGTTGTAATGACAGGTTTATTATTTGTGTCACAATTAGAGGCTCCTGTGCAGGGACTAGAAATGCCTGCTGCATACTGGCTGCATCTCCTTGACCCAGCACCACACTGGGCACATAGTAGGTCTCTAATAGGTGTCAACTGAACAGCTGAATTCTGTGAATTCTACAGTGCTTTTCCAAGCTCATAACTCTGCTATGACAAGATGCTGAACTCCGTCCTTCTGAGCCTGCCCGAGGCTCCCGCCTCCAATGTTGCCTTTTAAGGAGCCTCAAGGGGACAAGACCCAGTATGGCTGGGCTCTCCAGCCCCAGGAGCTGTGGGCATGTTCAGAGAGGCTCTTGTCCTTCCCCACCCCCTCTGGCTCTCAAAGCATCCCTGGAGGGCTCCCAGCTTCTGGGAGGCCCCCAGACACTGCCCCACACCCTCCCTCAGGTGTCAAGTGCAGGGAACACAGCCAGAGCTGGACTGGGAGGGAAGTGGCTTGGTCAGTTCCTTCCTGCTGCCTCCCTCTTTTCCCGCCTCCCTCTTTTCCCCCAGGGCTGTCTGAGCAGGTCTAGGCAGAGCTGGTGGCAGCAGGTCCCAGCATTCCAAAGGGGGCCTGGGCGGCCAGGCCCGAGGGAAGGGACAGAGTATTAACCCCTTCATGTCCATCCTATCAGTACCAGCAGAATCATGCAGGTGTGCTCCATCTTTTGAAACACACACAGGTCACACACATTCAAAGCATGCACACGTGAGTGCACATGCACTCTCACCCTGACACATGCTGAAATGCATAAATCCTCACTCTCACTGTGACCCAGGCACCCCTCACACCAGTGAGGCAATGGAAACCACTTATACATCATGCATTCCTAAAAGTTTCCTCCCCCCAGAGGCCCTCTTAGTCCCAGAGCAGGGGGTGGAGTGGGTGCAGGGCCTCCTGCTCTAAGTCTTAGGGTCCCCCCTTATTTTCATTAAAGCATTCAAGGCTTCCCCCCTTGCATCTCGGGCCTTCGATTAGGGTAGTGGCATACCCCAACCCCTTCATCCTCTTGCTGGGAAGTGTGGGGAGGGGTGGGGGAGGGAGGAGGGGCCACATTCCAGGGAAGGCCCTGCTACACTCTGGCTGGCTGCCAGTTCAGCCATCCCTGACCCTCATCCGGTCCAGGTCAGCGGATGCTGCAGTCAGAGGTTTCCTTCCTGGCACCCCCTTCTTGGACTCTCCCGTGACAGCGAGAAAGGCTGGGAGGGGAAGTAGCCCCATCCCAGGCAGGAGGAGCTGCACCTGAAGCCAGGCATCCAGGGTTGACTACTCCTGGGCACTGCTGTTGGAATGCTGGTGTAGAAGCTGATGTGGGCCAGGTAAAAATTTCCATTTTACAGATGAGGAAACTGAGGCCTTGCGCCCAGCAAATAAGTGACAGGGATAGGATGTGAAACAAGTCTGTTGCCACAAAACCCACCAGGCAAGCCCCCTCCAAGTCCCAAATACTCACCAACGGTTACAGTTGTCCCAGTAGGTTCCCAAGACTGGATAGATGCGACCCTTGTGCATACATCCTGGTGGGAGGGAAGACAGGAAGAGAAGTGGAACCAAGACCAGGGACGATGGGCTGAGATGGCCAGATCCTCAGAGGTCTGGTGTCCTGAATCCTCCCAGACACACACACACCAGCCCTCACTGAAAGCAAAGCCAAGCTATAACTTAAGACATCTCCTGAGAGTCACAGATCAACTTCCCACTACTTGGAAGTTCTTCACTGACTCTAACCCAAATCCCTCTTGCTTCACTTGGATGCCAGCCACAACATTCCGTAGATCCTAGGCCAGTTAAATGAGCTGGGGTTTGGAGATGGGGAGTGGGACGAATATGGAAAAGCCAAAGCCCAAAAAAGGTACATGACTTCCTTGAGATAACAGGTATGCAGTCAACTCCCTTGACAACCCAGGTATGCAGTCTCACACCTGCAGCCCCGTGGAATTATGGGAAGGAAGTCAAGTGATTCTCCTCTTGGATTGGGATGGGTGGATGGTGGTAAGGGCTGAAGGTAGGAACAGACTTGACCCACCTCCCAGGTGTGACCAGCCATTTCAGGGATAAGGAATCCTGAGCAAAAGCAGAGGAACTGCTAAAATGACTCTGACCAACGCTTGTGTGGTTTATCAGTCTGAGAGTGAGTCAGCAGGTGGGGCCAACACTTTCTCAGCCCGGAATACGGAGACAGGAAGGACTGGGAGAAAGGGCAGGTGGCTGCCCTTCTCCTGGGCCAAATGAACATCCCACTGACTGACTGAGGCGCTTTTTCAATCTTACTGGAGAGATTCAAGTTATACCAAAGTGAGAATTCGCAGAAGTAAAGAGAGAGGGGCGGGGTCTCTTTCCAGATGCTAGGAAGCCTCCCCTGGAAACATCAATGCATCAGCCTTGCTCCTGAGCCTTGCTGAGTTTTGGGCTTGACAACGCGACCCACCCCTGGCCGTCTGGTGCCCACCTTGGATGGGGGGGAAGGGGGGTGGCACGCCGAGGCAGAAATCCCAGAAGTCAGGGCAGCAGTCGGAGACGGTGCGGTTGCAGAAGAGGTCACAGTAACAGGTGACACCCAGGTAGGGCAGGGCGCAGTCATCCGCGCGGCCGCGGCAACAGAGGTCCTGCTCCTGGCAGTACCGGCCCGCCGCGTCCCGGATGCCGCGCTGGTGCAGAGCAGGTGCTAGCTCCCGGCGCCTACGACCCCGCCGGGCGCCCACGCCCAACTCGCCGGCCAGCAGCAGCAACAGCAGGAGCAGCAGCCCCGGTGGACGGCGCCACATGGTGCCTCCTGGGCCCAGGGAGGGCAGAGGTCAGGGGTCAGAAGTGGCGGGCAGCAGAGATTCCCTGGCACCCCCGGGGACTGCTCTCCCCTGCTTCCCGGGGCTGCGAGTCTGCGGGGATCCAACAGGGACCCTGACTCCTGCGTCCTCTGGCAGGACAGGGGCAAGGAGCCACAGTCTATGTGCCCTGGCTTACAGGGCGGGGAGGGGGGCTTGGGCAAGAAGTGGCGCTCCTCTCTGACCTGCCAGGAGACCCTCAGGGAATGGGAGGTGGGGACGCTGGCATTCTTGGTGCCCCCCCAAGGCCACACCCAGGCCTCGAACCCCTCGTCTCCTTCGGTCCTGGATCCCTGCCCAGCCTCGGCCCTTGGTGGGGGTCCCTGACTTCGTGCCCTCACGTGTCCCTCGCGCTGTGCCCCCTCTGCCCGCTGCTACTCTCCCTCTCTGCCACCTGTCTCGGCCCCTCCGCCTGCCGGTCCTCCTCTCGGCTCCTTCTACCTACAACTCTCTCTCCCCCTCCGAGCCGGGGGAGAGGCCCTACCTGATGAAGGGTGTGGGCTGAGCCCCGCTGCCTCTCTCGCCTCCGCCTCCCCGCTCCCCGCGACCGCCGCGGGACACTCAAAGTCAAGTGAGGAAAGCGGGGCGGGATCGCTTTTTGTACCGCCCCGCGGGGCGCGCCGCCCCGGCCGGCGGAGGAAGGGAGGGGCCCCGGCGGGTTCGCACCTGGAATCGCCCCGCCGTAACCCCTGAAGCTGGGACTTGGGCAAAGGGATCGTGAGCACGTGACTGACCTTGCTGGGTCTCCCGTGGAAGCCGTTCCCTTAGGGGGCCAACTCCAACCGATGCAGAAACGCTTAGTGGTCTGCTGACCCTGGGAAGGACTGCCCGGTGGGCTTCGCGGTGGGGCCGAGGGGCTTGCGCCGACAAAGGAAGATTAGGGGCAGTGGAGTTCCGAGTCTGGGACCTAAGTTAGAGAAATGATGCGGAGAGTGTGGGAGGCAAAAATGACTAAGCCCCCCTGCGACCCCTCAGTAATAAATCCAGTCTTGCGCACCCCTCTTCACTGGGCACCGCCCCCCTCCTCCCAAGCCTTGGAGCTGCCCCAAGCCGTCTCGGTTTCCAGGAATGAGTGGAATCTGGAGGAGGATAGTTTAGGACCCTGCAGATGCCTTGGGAGACTCATCCTCCCCGGGGGATTTCGGGGAGGATGGAGTGGGTGTGGTTTGGGGGGGCTGCCTCTCTGCCTTAAGACCCCTCTCCGGGTCTGCCCTCCCCATCAGCCCAGGCATCTCACCAAACACTGCCCCTTCTATCAAATCCACCCCCTGGGTAGGGTGGGGGTGATCCTGCTCGGCACCTGCGCCCCTCCAGGGTCCCAAGGCAAGAGCCCTGCCAGCTGGCACCCCCTGCAGAGGCTCCCCCCTTCCTGCCCCAGGCTTAAACCCTTCCTTTGCCCAGGCTGGCCTGGGCCCCAAACAATGGGGCTTCTGTCCCGCCAGGCCCGCCATCACCTTTTACCTCCCCATTGCGCAATGCCCTGTCTTCCGAAGGTTGGGCCCCCGGCCAGAGGACTCTTAACAGCGGGAGGATGAAAGAGACTCCACCTGGACAGACCACCCCCCCATTCTGGGCCTGAGCGTCGCAGATGCCCCTGGATGGAAAATGCAAGCACTGGGAATTCCCTTTGCCCTTGCTCTGACCTCCCTGCCGCCCTCCTCCAGACTTGGGGCATCTCAGCTGGCTGGCCCCTGGGGGAGGGGAGGGACCCAGACAACGGGCATCTGTGACTGAGTTGACTGAGTTACCCCCTGCCAGGGGGTACTGGGCAGGGAGTCAAGAAGGGAATCCTGCCCTGAGTAGGGGTGTGGGGGTTGGAGGAGTAAGGTCCTAGAGCCCCAGCATTGGCGCGAACACTCACAGGAGCTGGCCATCTGCTCCTTGCAGGGACCCAAGAGGACAGAACCAGATGAGACCTTTGAGGCTCAGAACAGACTTGCCCGAGGTCACACAGCCATAAGGCAGGCTCCCTACCTGCCAACACTCCACTCCCTTCCCCCAGCCATCCTTAGTCACCCGCTTCAGGCCTCAACACCCTCCCTGTAGGGAAGTCCCTTTCTATGTCTAACCTCCACTTGTCTTACTGCAAAGCGGGCCCCTCGTACTGGGAAGGAGATGCAGGCTGCCTTCAGAAGAGCTCATGCCCAGAGAATCCACTTTCATGAATCTGTTTCAGTGTGGTTCTGGGGCTGAGGGCTGGCCCAGGGGCATCTGGCCTGTCCTTTGCCCCAGGTCACCCCCTGCAGGCCCTCTATGCGAGTCCCTGTCACATGCGTATCTGGGTTTGAGAGGTGTTTCTGTTGGAGTGTGTATGAGTCTGCTTGTATCTCCGTTACCTATCTGCCATGTGCCTGCATGTCTGGATGTGTGGTCACGGGTCTGTCCGTGTGTCAGTGTACTGTTTGCTTGTATCTGTGTGCTGGTTGTCTTGTGTGTTGGTGTGTATAGCTATGTGACTGTCCCTGTCTGTGTCTGCCTGTCTACGAGGTGTCTGTGTATCTGGGTAGGTGTCTGTTTGTGTCTCTTCAGGAGTTTTAGCTGTCTGCCTGTTCTTGCCTGCCTGTCTGCCCATGCACAGGAGACAGGAACGCAGGAAAGAGAACGGAGCCAAGAGCATGGCTGCGAGGTCCCTCGTCATCACTGAGCTTGGCACCGAGCCCGCCCCAGTGGAATCTTGTGACTCATTTGGTTCCTTGGCCAGGGAGGAGAGGAAAAGGGCAGGGCTCGGGGGAGGGGCTGGAACCCCACTTTCCTTTTCCGCAGCTCCTCTCCTTCCTGGTGACTCGCTCTCTGCCTTTATTCTTGTCCAAGGGCCTAGGGCAGAGCAACAGGTGAGGAGAAGGCCGCAGGCTTTGCCCTCTGAGCCCTTCGGCCTCCCAGGAGGCAGGTGGCCTGGGGCTCCACAGTGATTCTGTCCTTCCTCACTTGTCACCCTGGCAGACCCTGCCCCTCTCGGGGCCTTGGTTTCCCATCTATACCTTGATACTCCCTAGAGGTTCTTAGATGCTCTTTTGTTTCTACAAAGGCTGTGTGTGTGTATGTGTGTGTGTGCATGCTCACTCCTGTCCCACCCTTTTGTGACCCCATGAAACTGAAGCCCACCAGGCTCCTCTGTCCATGGGATTTTGCAGGCCAGAATACTGGAGTGGGTTGCCATTTCCTACTCCAACCCAGGGATCAAACCTACATCTCTTGTGCCTCCTGCATTGGCAGGCAGATTCTTTACCACTACGCCACCCAGGAAGCCCTTCTGCAAAGGGAGATGAGGCTAAAAAGACGTAGTGACCCACCCAAGGTCACACAGCAGAACAGAGGCCTGGGCCTCCTCTCTTCTCCCCGGAATCTGGCACTACCCCTTCCCTCTTCCAGTTCCCCAGCTGCTCAGGGTGCTCAGTAGGGGCCATTCTCCTCTGGAGGTTGAGTGGGGCCTCCTGGGAAGACAATGACCCATCGTGCTCTGCTCAACCCAGGTCTGTGGCTGAGGACCCACTACTTGAGGCCTGGGAGCTCAGATGTATGGATCCCAAATGGCACCGCATCTAGGGCTGGGAGGTCCCTTGGGAACCCCTGTGGTCAGCTGGGCAGGCCCAGAGCTTGGAGCAGTGTCTGAGATTCAGGGCAGGCCTAATATGGTCCATGCTGGGTCTTGTCATGAGCATGTTGGGCTTCTTGAGGCCTGCTGGAGCATTGCTCACAGGACTGTGTGAAAGAAGGTGGTGCTGTCACGGCATGCTGAAGCTTGTGGGAGATAAGATTCAGGGCCACATGGAGGTGTGTTGTCCCAAGCAGAGGAAGGTGTTCCTGTTTGATGTTCTCATTCATTCCACAAATGTTTGGTGAGCATCTCCTATGTGCCAGGCTCTGCGCTAGACGCTGAGCGTCAGGGTTGAGCCAAATGTTCTACTCTTGCAAAGTCTCCAAGCTAATGGGAAAAGAGACAAACAAGCAAACAAACCATATATATTCATTCTACCATGTGAAAGTCTATGAAACTGTGCCCATGACTTGGGACCTCGAGTGCTGTGATTGCTGAGAGTGTCAGAAAGGAGGTGGCATTTGATCTGAGACTGAAGGATGAGCAGGAGGCAGCGAGCCCTGGAACCCAGGGTAGGGTGTCCCAGGAAGCCGGACCAGCATGAGCAGCAACCCTGAACTCGGCACAGACGAGTCTGTTTGAGACACAGAAGGAAGCCCAGAGTGGCCGTGCTATAGTGAAGACCGGGGCAGAGGAACAAGATGAGGCTGGGAGGTGGTGTGCACGGCCCATCACCCAGGCCCCTCAGGCTGAAATAGGGAGCTTGAATTGTCTTCTGAGCACTAAAGAGATCTCAACGTGGCAGTGAAATAATCTGATTCACACGTGCAAAACCCCACTCCGCCTGCTCTTTAGAGAACAGATGACTACAAGATAAGAGTGGAATCAGGGCGTGCCAAGGAGGAGGCGATGGTGTGCCTCAGGCTAGAGATGCTAAGGCTTGAATGAGTCTGGGGGCCATGGAGATCCTGAGAAGAGGGCGTGTTGGAGACCTCTTCTGGAGGTGGGAGTGACTGAACTTGCTGGAGGGTCAGATGAGATGGGTGAGAGAGGAGGAATTGAGGAGGACCTCTGGGTTCCTAGCCTGGTGGGCAGTTTCTCTACTGTTCCGGTCCTAGGAACAGGGCCGCCTGGGGGACAGCTTGGACCCATAGAGACAGCGTGAGCTAGGCTGGTTTCCAGCTCAGACTGGAAAAGTGGGAGGGAGACAGAGTCCTTGGACTCTCCTCGGCAGAAGCTGGGCAGAGAAGAAGAGAGAGTGCAGTAGAATTAGAAGAAGCTGTCAGGAGGAAGAGGAGGGCCGAGGTGAGGAAGCCGGGGGCAGAGGGTGTTTCCAGACCTAGGAGAGGGAGTTCCCCGTGAAGGCTGAGTAAGCTGAGGACAGAGACGTGTCCACAGCAAGGACGTCAGGGCAAC